AGAGAGAGAGAGAGAGAGAGAGAGAGAGAGAGAGAGAGAGAGAGAGAGAGAGAGAGAGAGAGAGAGAGAGAGAGAGAGGAAATGGGGGGGGGGACCCACGTGGGTGTAATCAAGGTGCAGTTGAGTTTGTTTCTCCTTCAAGTTGACGTAACGGATGTGAAGGTTCTCTGATGAATGCTGGTGGCCTGTGGAGCATTTGAAGATACAGAAGAGGAAGTCAACCGGCAAGTTGCCGTCTGTTTTCTTCCGTTCTCATTATTTTTTTTTTTCTTTTTTTTTTTGAATTTTATTTTAGACAACTTTCGTTTTCATTTAAATCCTGGAAAAGTGGCCGGCCAGCCCACACAAAGACCCGATCTGGGAGCTTTACCCAGTGTTATACTTTTGACAGGACCCTCTGGGACCCGGACCGAAGTACCACACTTAGCTAAACCTGTACTTCCTGCTCCTAAGCTTAAAGCCTAAGCCCTAGTTCTTCTGTCTTACCCCTTACTTCACCTGGTTCTATTTAAATAGCCCTCTTGCATTTCCGTTTATCTTGTTCTGCCTACCTGCTACCCTCTCCTTTCTACCTTAATCGTTTGTGGTTGTTTTTCAGTGAGTTGCTTACTATTATTATTATTATCATTTGTGGTTGTTTTTCAGTGAGTTGCTTACTATTATTATTATTATCATTTGTGGTTGTTTTTCAGTGAGTTGCTTACTATTATTATTATTATTCTCATGCGAGGGTTCGCTGAATTAGGTGTGTGATGCTGACCTGTGCCTTCTTTCATGCACAGAGAAAGTCCACGTGCAGGTTCTCTAAGCTCCTGAGCTGACAGAGCAGGTGATGGGGCTGGCTGGCGGTTCAATCATCAGATTCATCACTACCTTCCTCCAGTTGTGAGCAGGGTGGGCCGCTGGCTGGTCAGATCCTCGTCGCTATGGCAGGTGCCTTGCCCTTCAGCGGTGCAGGCAGTGCAGTGGCATTGCCTCACAAGTCCAGCACTTTTCTCTGTCAGGCTGTGTTGCTCCCACTTGTAAAGGCTCGACCCATCCGGATACCGACTGCCACGGGGAGTAACATGACGACTGCTATCGCTGAGCCAACACAGTCTCTGCGCACAGCCCATGCATGCTCGAGGAACGTTTGGTCATTAAGGAAGGTAAAACCCTTGCCTTGTGGGCTCTGCAACAAAAACCGGTCATTCTCATTGCCGTCGTCGTCGTCGTCACCACGGTTTGTTGTTTCAACTGTGTCTAACTGTGGAGGGAGCAGATCCGCAGCCATTGGTGTGGCATGCGGAAGGCCGCTCGCCCTCTTTAGAGGCGGAGAAGCGATTGGCAATGGTGGGGCAAAGAACTCACGCTCTGGGTTTGCAAGTTGGGGGGCAGACTCGGAGGCGAAAGGGGGTCTGAAGGACCAGTTGTGGGCAGCAGCAGGCTTCGCTGCAGCGATTGGTATCTGCAGTGGAGCCGCAGCGTCCTGGGCTCTGGCGGCTTCCGCATCGGATGGCGCGACTGTGAGCTCGATTCTGGAACCAGCAACTGGCACCACGTATCCTGAACAGATTGTTGTTCCTGGTCTTAGCAATCCGATGACCGCCCTTGGCGCGGGAGTCAGGGTCAAGAAGATTGCAATGATCTCTGTGAAAGTGTATGCAGTGGCATTCTATGCAGAGGCAGGTGTCACCGAAGCTCTGAAGAGTTTCAAGGGGATGTCGGCGGAGCAGCTTAGCAAGGACCCCAGGTTTTTTAAGGTTTTGGTCGATGCGCCTGTTGAGAAAGCCATCGAGATTGTCCTCGCACGAGACGTCAGCGCCGACACTTTCTGGAACGCACTCAATGATGCACTGGTGCCCCGTCTGAAAGCGCTTAAAGCAGGTCCAGAAACTGACAAAGCTGTTGCTTTGCTAGGAGAGTCCATAAGACGACAAGCTCTGAAAAAAAATGTTGCAATCTGCCTGGGATGGCACCAGCCTGGCACATTGGAATTGACCATAATTGATGACCATAATGCAGCAGCAAAGCAGCCTCTAAGGACTACGATCGAGTCAGAGGTACTTCTTTCTGCACTCTATGATGTTTACCTTGGCCCAAGCTCTGTCTCACCGACGCTCAAGACGTCAGTCGCTGCTGGCGGTGCAGCAGCTTTGAATAAATAGCTACCCCGTTGATTGATGGGTTCTCCACTTTGCAGTTCCTTTGACTTCGACGATGAAAGAGTTATTTCACAATGGCCGTCACACAGCTCTAGCAGGAAGCGAGGCTCTCATTCCTGTCCCCGCCCTTTGCTGAACCAATGATTGAAGCTACGAAAGAAATATGTGTGTGTGTGTGTGTGTGTGCAGGCGTGTGCGTGCATTTGTGTGTGTGTGTGTAGCTTCAATCATGATTGTTAAAAAAAAACAACGCTCGGTTAAAAATTTGTGACTTCGGCTATATGTTTAGGTGTGTTACCCTCTGCTGCCATTCATCCTCTGTTCGGTAGTGTTAGTGTAGCTTGCTTTCAGGTGTAGAGAATGAATAGGCAGCCTATGCAACTCTACATGAGTCAAATAGTCAGCCTACCCCTCTGCTTCCCTTGATATGTCGATAAACCTACATGGCTGAATGTAACCTGTGGGTTGCTTTTATGATGCCCCCAGTGTGTGTGTGTGTGTGTGTGTGTGTGTGTGTGTGTGTGTGTGCACGCCCGTCTGTGCGTGCGTGTGTGTGTGTGCACGTGTGTGTGTGTGTTTGTGTGTGTGTGTGTGTGTCTGCGCGCGCGCGTGTGCGTGTGCGTGTGTGCGTGTGTGTGTGTGTGTGTGTGTGTGCAATGTGCTGTTTCTTGCCGCATTCTGCACATGTGAGAGAATGTGTGTAGGCAAACCCATCACCACTTATCTAAGGCCAGCCAAAACCAGTTAAGATGGATTTGCTAGTTAGCATGAGCGAATCGATCAGATTCTGTCATATTGGCATGTTTGGCTCGTATCGGCAAGTTGGTGGATGGGCTATGGGAATAGCCAGGAGAGAGCATTCGGTTAGGATCGGTCTTGTGATTGGGAATGAGTGTGGCAATTAGTACACTCAATGTAGTCATGAGTTGGAGGCAGGGATCTAATTCGTCTCAGTAGGGCAGTTCAGAGGCTTGGCAGTGAAGCAGTTGGGAATTGGCGATTTGAGTTTTTTTTGGCGAGTTTTCGCTGTGGGAAGTTGTGCTGCCAAGGACTACTTTGAGATGCAAGTTACACATAGCCAGTGTGAAACCAGATCCTAACCTTTTTCTCTCTTCAACACGGTCTTATTTTTCTCTTTGTGTCTTTGCACCATTCCTTCCCTCCCTCCCTCGTCCAAACATTGTGCTGAAAACAGTGCTCCATCGTCTTTGCGCCTTTTTTTGTTCTTCGCATAGCAATATTGCATACATGTCTGATCTGCTGTCTGCTGTCTGCTGTCTGCTGTCCGCTGTCTGTGTCTGATCTGCTGTCGGCTGTCTGCTGTTTTTTTCTGATCTGCTGTCTGCTGTCTGCTGTCTGTGTCTGATCTGCTGTCGGCTGTCTGCTGTTTTTTTCTGATCTGCTGTCTGCTGTCTGCTGTCTGCTGTCTGCTGTCTGCTGTCTGTGTCTGATCTGCTGTCTGTGTCTGATCTGCTGTCTGCTGTCTGTGTCTGATCTGCTGTCTGCTGTCTGCTGTCTGCTGTCTGCTGTCTGCTGTCTGCTGTCTGCTGTCTTGTCTGGGTCAGGAGTCCGGTGAGTAGATTGCCTCTCTCCCGCTCAGTCTGCGTACCCTATTGTTATCACTATGAATATCAGATATCTTCTTTTGAATAAGAAGATCAAAATGTCTCCTTATTTTGTTCACCACATGTGGGCACATGCGTACACATGCAGGCACATTTGCGCACATGCTATACATCGCATAGTGTTGTCACCACCACATGTGGGCACATGCATACACATGCAGGCACATTTGCGCACATGCTATACATCGCATAGTCTTGTCACCACCACATGTAGCCGTAATATACTAATTGTGCACACCTATAATACTGTGATATGCATATGAGAGGAGTTAATAATTTGGTCACACATGCACCTGGTATTTCCCAGCATTTCGGCTTGAGATCAGGACCTACCGTTGTCCCTGCCGGCGCGTCCATGCAGGCACGTCCCATACCATCCAGGTGTCCATTTGACGTCCGTCTGGAAATTGCCCGCACTGCCCTCTTTGCTTTTGCGACGGTTCTTCGTAAGGAAGTACCTGCTATCTTTTTTCAAGATTTTTGCCAACAAATGTAATTTGCGTTTGCGCCGCGAACTTTGCGGCAACTTTGCGCTATATATGTATGAGGAGTGGAGCATCACTTTCAGCCAATTGCATCTCCCTGGTGCATTGATTGAAGTGTTGGCGCCCGTGTACTATCACCCCCCCATCACTTGGAGCTATCAGCCCAGCGAGCGACTCTTTGGCACTTCTCATCTTCACCTTCTCTCTCTCCTTTTCTCCTCACCAACTCCATCAATATGTCATTTATAATTTATTAAATTTTATTTCCATTTGCTTCTTTTTTTTTTTTTTTTGTGTGTGTGTGTGTGTGATCTGTCTGAGACTGTCTCAATTTCTTTGATTTTTTTTTATTTAAAAAAAAAAACATTCTCTCTCCATTTTAGCTTAGAAGCAGTGTTATTATGAATCATCATTTTCATCATTGGTAAGTTATGCAGGCGTCGAAATGATGTACCCATTGACCTGAGGGGTTATCAAGTTGTTATTCCATCGGCGTGGCATGCCAGACTTCCAAGCCACTTTCATTTTCCTCAATTTTATTGCCCTGTTCCATTTCACTTTGTCCATTTATCATTGTCATCGTCTTAGGACTGGGCTCCCTCGGTCGACCTGAAAAAACTGGATATATCGCCGAAGATCAGAAAACCATGGACCATTTGCTGCCTGTCGAAATCTGTCCTGGAACCGCCCGATTGCCTGTGGTTTAGACGACTGACTAATGCACAAATTTGAAATTAGATCCCCCTAGCCACCCCGGTCAACGGGTACATCATTTCGGTCGTCTAAACCGGGACTACCCTGGTCAATGGGTACATCATTTGGGACGCCTAGCCACCCCGGTCGCGGGCCAAATACCGGGACCACCCCTGTCAATGGGTACATCATTTGGGACGCCTAGCCACCCCGGTCGCAGGCCAAATACCGGGACCACCTCAGTCAAGGGGTACATCATTTCGGTCGTCTACCAGAGGCACCTCAGTCCGCAGGACTTTGCGGTGCGACGTGAACGGTCATCTCAGCCAGTAGCAGGTTTACGATACGGCAGGAGGGGGAAATTCTGTTGCCTCTTGGCTGGACTGAGGCATTACCTGTTTTGGAAAGCCAGTAGCACATCATTTGATACTATGCTGAGGAGGATACTTGTTACTTACCTGTTTTGGAAAATGCAGTCCTGCAACATTCTCTTTAAGAAAATATTGCATTACCCCATGGCATTTTGCTTTTTTGAAATCCCCTTCGAATTTAACCCCCCCCCCCCCCCCCCCCCCCCCCCCCCCCCCCCCCCCACACACACACACACACACACACACACATTTTCACGTTCTCTCTAGCCACTTAGTGGGTTTCATGTATTGTCCGGATCATTTGCAGTGGCTGAAGGCCAGTTTGCCAATAATTGGGGCTCGGTCCCTAACCTTGCATGTCTATCTTAGTAGTTGTCAATGAAGCTGTATTTTTTTAATACTATTGTTGTGATGATTTGCAGTATCCAAATGCCAGTTTGCCGAACCAGATTTCTTTCTTGTTCTACCAGAAGACCAACTAGCCGAGCAGAAAGCGTTTGCCCGGTGGAACTGGTGGTCCTGGATTGCGGCCAATTTTGTTTTTGCTTTCCCCGGGAGCAGGAAGAATTGGATTCGCGAGGCCATTCTGCACTACTCCCCGGGAGCAGGCAGAACCCAGCGTCTAGCTTCTAAATTGTGAATGTCATTGGCGGGGGG